TAAAAATATGACTTTAGTTTAAAAATTATTATTTTTTTTTAAAAAAAAGAAATATTGTCATTAACATATAGTTTATATCAAAATAAAATACTAAAAGAAAAATAATTAATTGATAATATAATATAAGAACTAGAATTAAATTAATATTAAAATATTTAATTATAATACATAAAATCACAATTTGTATTAAAAAAAATATAACTAGCATATCATCTAATAAAAAATAATCCGAAAATAATATTTTTGGAAAATCCAACTAAAAATCTTGATTAAAAATCTTCTTTATAATTAATTAATTTATTAAATTATTAAGTAAAAAAAGATATAACTGTTATATGTACTATGGAATATATTCCAAGTGAAATTTTTAGTTAAATAAATAGATTAATAGTTCTTTCATATGGAAATATTATTTATTAAGGACAAGCTTAAATTTGTGTTTAATATTTTAATAATTTGGGTTATTAATGTCCTTTAGAATACAATCCGAACGATTACATAATGAAATTATGCTATTGCTTATCAAAAGATGAATTAGAAATTCAAAAATTTAAATAATAAATTGATTTTTTAGTAAATAAAAATAAAGAAAATACAAATTTAGATGATGAAAATTCAATATTAAATTAAAAAGAAGAAGAATAAGTTATATCTGAAGGAAAATAAAAAAAAGATTTTTTATTTTAATTAAAAGTTCTTTTATATAGATAGTTAATATATTAATAAAGATATAAAAACTAGTTATTATAAAAAATTTTACAAGTGATTTTTTTTTCAATTTTGTGTTTAATTATTTTCGTAGATATTAATTTTGGAATCATTAGTATTTAAAATAGATAAGGAGCAATTTTTTATATAATTTCTTATTTAGGAATAATATCTATTTATTGTAAAAAAAAAATTAAAATAATTAAAAAACATTTAAAGGGAATTTTTATGATTTTAAAGATGAATAAAAAATTATTTTTAATAAATAAATGATAATTTATATGAATTAAATACGTATTTTTTAGCAAAACAGTTTATAATTGTTTTAAATTCTTTATTGTTTTCGATTATTTTTATCTCTATAGTTTATTATTAGATAGGTCTTAGTTAACTTGCTTTTTTCTAATTATATTTATAGTCTAATTGTTTGTATACTTATTTTTTGGAACGGAAGTTAATAAGGATTTTTATTTTCATTAATATTTGATTAATTTGTTTATGTATTTTATATAATAATCTTTTATGTACTAATGTGTGGATTTTTAGTCAATACTAATGATTCTGCTATCTTTTGGAAATATTTGTCATATGTTTCTTTTCTGAAATATGGGTTTGAAAGTTGTTTAAGTGTATTTTTATATATATTAAATATTATTATTTATAAAATAAATATTATTTTTTTAGATTGAATATAAAAATTTAAATATAATTTGTAATGATAATTATAAAAACATTTGGTGTAATCCTTAAGAAATTTATGATTTTAAACTTGGAATAATTTCTAATATAATTTTGATAATTTTAAATGGATTTTTTTTATTTTATGCATATATCTAAAATTTTATTCTTAAAAAATAAAAATAATTATGTGTTAAAATGAATTTTTTGTTTGAAAATAAAATATTACATTTTTAATTTTATTTTAAAAAAGTTTTTACTAAATTTAAATTTTGCTAAAAAATTAAAAAATAAATACATATATTTAGATATTAATTTTCAAAAAAATATCAAAAAAAAATGTCTGAAAATTAGTAAAAAAAATCATTATTTAAATAAAAAATAAACAAATTGAAAAATTTATAGAATCAAGATGATGTAATAACAATTTTATTTAATAAAAATAAAAATAATATATATATTTAACCAAAAAAATAATATATGATTCAGAAATAAAACAATTTAGCCTTTCCTGATACATTTAAATTAGAAGAAATTGATATATAAGAACACTAATAAGAAAAAAATAAAACCAAATAAATCGAAAAGCAAAAAAAATAAAATTAGTTTCAAGTGCCAAAATAAGAATATGACTTAATAAGTAAAGAAAATGAAGACTTGATAAAAAACATGAGTAAAGAACAAATAGAAAAATTATAAAAAGAATTATATGAAATGCTAGATCCTGGAGTAATAAATAGATTTAAGAAAAGAGATTTGTTTGATGTAAATGAATATCCTTCAGCAATAAATTAATATAAAAAAGATGATTATTAAAAATAAATAGATATATTTATAGATAATAACTAAGCTGAAATTAAAAAAGTTTATAAAATGGAAACTAAAACTACATCAGATATAATAAAATAAGCCTGTTTCGATTAAAATGGTGAATTTTTATATGAAGAAACTTTACAAAATAAACTAAAAGTTTTATTATTTTTATAAATATAAATAATAATTAATTTTTTCAAAAATAATAGAATTTAGATGATATTGATTTAGATAATTTATAATATTATAATTTAGAAATAGTAAATAGATTAATAGATCATAAAAATAGAAGCTTTAATACAATAGGAATATAAATTATAGAAAAAATAATTCTTAGTTTCTAATAAAAAATATAAAATGGATTTAATGGAGATTTTTTATTTGAAATCGATAATATAAAAGTTTTTAGATTAGATTTTATTTATTTTTTAGAAGAAAAAATATAATTAACATATACACTTTCGAGGTGTTTAAATGTACCTTATCTTTCGCTAAATATAGGATGTCTTTCTTGTATAAAAAATTATATTTATTATATTATTTAGTCAGAATATAATTATTATAAATTGTATTAAACAAAATTTGATAAAAAGAAGTTTAAGGCTTTTACATAAATTTTTTTAGATGATAATACTTTAAGATAGTTTTGCTATTTATTAAATAATGTATGTAAAATAAATAAAAAAATTATTCATATATATTGATTATATAAATAAAAATTATTTATATATATATATATATATAAATATATATATTTGTATATAAATATCTTTTTAAATTTTTTATATTTATATTAATTAAGATTAATTTTGGCAAAAATTAAGAGTTTTTTTATGAATGCTTAATTATTATTTTAGAATATTTATTATTTTTTGATTACTAAGCTTTTTCAAAATAAATCAAAGATTATGGTCTAATTGTAAAAAAATATATAATTAAATTTACAAAAGAAATTACTTTATAAAATAGGAATTAATTTAAAATTAAATAAAAGACAAAAAACAAATATTAGATTAATTAGAAATAATCCTTTTTGAATTAAATAAACTTGACATAGTATACGAAAATATTCCTTTAAATAAATATTCATTAAAACTAATGAGAAAATATAAATATTAATTAGGCAATATTACATTATAATCTTATGAAAAAAAATTAAAAAACTCTTAAACTAATTCAATTAAAATAATTAAGAATATTTAGTTTATTTAAGAGATTTTTTAATTTTTGGTGAAAAAATAAACTTATTATAGCAATTATAAATTGAATAAGAATTCTTATAAAATTTAAAATCGAACGAAAACATATTAATAAATACAATTTTTTTAATTTTTGAATTAAATGAAATATAACTTTTTTTTAAAAAAAAATAGAATAAAAACTAGATCTATTTCTAGACTAAAAAAAATTAAAATTGAACACAGAATATATAATTTCAGGACTATTTTAATAAGAAGGGCGAGGAATTCCAAATTGCTTTAAAAATGTGATTGATTTAATTATTAATATACATGAATAAGTTTATTTTAAGTATTACTTTCTAATAAAAGATAAATTTCCGGATTTAATAATAAATAATTTTCCTAGTTTTTTTTAAATAATTGAAATTCTCAAAAATATTTACACAGAATTAAATTACTAAATGAAGTTTATTTTAATAAAAAAAACAAGAAAAAATATGCCTTTTAGATAAGAATTAAATGAAAACTTATCGGATTTATTTAGAATCTTGGTCATTGAATTTATTTAATATATTACTTTGTTTGATTAATGTGATCATTTTATTAATTTTATTTATTTATTAGCTGAAATTAAACAAGGATAAACTTTTATTTCTGTTCTAAATGTTCTAAATTAATTAAAAGAACGTAAAACCAATCTAAAAAGCATCCATATTTTATGCCAACTTTTCGATTTTAAGAAAAAAAGTATCGAAAACGAGGTTCTCTTGAATAATTATTAAATAATTTTAGATTTTGTTCACCCAGAATTATTTTTTTTAAGATTAATAAAGAAAGTTTTTTATGACGATTCATTAGGGTTTGCATAATTAAATGAATAATTATTAGATTAATTTTTCTCAAAAGTCATTTAAAAAGTTAATAAATAAAAACTAAATATCCTTTTTGTCAAAAACCCTGATATTATAGGTAAAATTATTACTAATTATAATTATATGTCATATGGAAATATTGCCTTTACAAAAATACTATTTTTTTTCCTTTCAAAATAATTTGATTTTTCTATTAAAAAGTAAAACTAAATTTTATATAGAAATATATATATATATAATTGTAAATTAGAAAAATTTTAAATGATACAATATTAAGTTATGCCTTTTTATTTAGTTAAATTTGTAAAGATAATATTTATGGAGATAAAGAAGATTATTAAGAAGAATAAAATAAAAAGTCAGATTTAATGGCCGAATGCAGATAAATAAAAAAGTTTTTATAATAAAATGAAATTTAAGTAAATGATAAAAGTTCAGTTTTTGATTGTTTTATAAATACTTATTATTGATTTTCTTAACAAAAATAAAATAAAAATTAAAATATGAATTAATTAACTTTTTTATATAAAAATACTTTATTTTAATTAACTTTTTATTAAAAAAAAAAAATAAAAATAAAAATAATTTTTTTTTTATTATATATAAAAATATTTTATTTTAAATATATCTTTTAATAAAAATAAAATGGATTTATTAAATTATTAAATAACAGTATACTAAATAATCTAAATTATTCTCTCCATATTAATAATAAAACTAACAATATGTGTAATAAAATGGATTTTTTAATAAAAAAGATAACGGTAATTAAACCAATTATCCCAAAAATACCGTCTTGTAAAAAAAACATCTAATAAATCTTTCAGTATACAAACAAATCCGAAAATAGGCCCTTAAACAATTGAAAAAGTCCTAAATTCTCCCGTAACAGTTTTAAAAAAAATGCTAGAAAATAAAGAAATAACCAGTGTAGATTTAGTGAATATATTTTCTCAAAGAGCCCAATAAATAGGACAAGAATTAAATATAATAACCGAGCTAAACTACACTGAAGCAATTTAATTAGCCATACAATGTGACGAATTAAGACAAAAAAACCCCGAAAATATAAAAAACCTACACCTATTCGGCATACCAATTTCAATAAAAGAAACATTAGAACAAAAAGGCTTTGTTTGTACTATAGGTTGTGTTTCTAGGATAAATGATGAGCCCTCAAAAGAAGATGGTTTTAACATATCTTTATTAAAAAAATAAGGAGCTATTCCTTTTATAAGAACAAACATACCTTAATTAGCTATGACGTCAGAATCATATAATCGCTTATATGGAAGAGTTTAGAATCCTTGGAATATATAAAAAAGCGCAGGAGGATCTTCAGGGGGAGAAGGTGCTGCAATTGCAGCAAGAATATCTCCTTTAGGAATTGGCAGTGATATTGGTGGGTCTATTAGAATTCCAGCAGGTATTTACTTTAAAAATATAATAAAATTAAATATTATATATTTTTTTAAAAAAAGCTTATTGTGGAGTATACGGATTTAAATTTACATCTAACAGGGGATTATCTAAAGGACATACTTATTTAACTGATTTTTTAAATGGGTAATAAGCAATTTTAGTAATTAATATTTTTTATTTATAATATATATTAATTTATACATATAAAATTATATATAATATATATATATATATATATATTATATATATTTCTATATATATATATATATCATAAAAAATAAAGTTGTCTGTAGGTCCTATAGGTAAAAGTGTTGATGATTTGATTTTGGTTATGAAATGTTTCAATGACTAGAAAGCGCATTAATAAGCTGAAATAGATAAAAAAGATGTTTTTTTATTAATTAAAGAAATTGATGATAAAGTAATTAATAACAAAAATAAATAAAGAATTGGATATTTTAAAACCCTATAATTTATTGACGCTAGTTTAGCAAATTAACGCGCAGTGGAAATATCATTAGAAAAACTAAAAGAATTAGGACATGAACTAATCGAAATTGAAATTCCGTTCTAATTAGAAATAATGTAATGTTATTTTAGAATTTTAATGTCTGATGGTTTATAAGGAGTACATAAATTACTCAAAGGAGAAGGTTTTATTAGAGAGTATAAATAAATGGTTACTTTAGCAAGTTTACCGTAATTCTTAGGGGTGTTTGTATCCTTAATATTAGGTTTTTTAGGTTAAAAAAGACTATAAAAGTTAATCGAAACTTTCAAAGAATTACCTGCTAGTGAATATGTTAGTACTTGCTATAAAATCCAAATTTTAAAATAAAAGTTTATCGAAATATTTTAAAAAAATAACATTTCATCTATATTATGTCCTTCTTCGGGTACTCCAGCATTTTCACATGGGAAAAATGCAGAAACAGTTCTTTCCTGCTATTATAATTTTATGTGGAATTTATTAGATTTCCCTGCCGGAGTTTTACCTATAACTACAGTTTTAGAAAATGAATAGCATTATAAAAATAGTTTAATTAAGGATATTCTTAGTAAGAAAATTGATTAGTTTATGAAAGGAAGCATGGGAATGCCAGTGGGAATTTAGGTTGTGGCTTTACCTAATTAAGATGAAGTAGCTTTGAATATAATGAAATAAATTGATGAGAAAGTTTAGTTTTATAAAAATTATAATTATCCTATATGAGTTTTTACTTTTTTCAATTATATATATAGATTCAAAAATAAATATATTGTTAAAAAGAAAAAACCTATTTTTATTAATTTTTTAAAATAAAAAAATAAATAAAAAAAGAAATATTAATAAAAAATTTTAGATTATTTTTATATTTATAAATATATATTATTTTATTATTATAAAATTAATAAATATTATTATTATTTAAAAATAAAAAATTAAAATAAAAATATTCGATGAGAAAAGACTATCTTGATTTTAGTCATTTCGACAAACGTTTTGAAAATAATTATGAAGTAGTAGCTCCTGAATTCGGTGATTTGTAATAAAAAAGAGCATAATTTATTGCTGAAAATGCAGGCAAATACAGGCCAGAGCCTTTTATTCCTGAAAATATTAATGGTTTAGTAAAAAAAACAGGAAGATTGCCCGCAACTAGAAATTGGTATAGAAGATCTTCATCTTATGAAAGAAATGGATTTTTGAATTATCATACTCCAGTATGGAATACTAAATTTATCCCTTGGTGTACATTTATTTTCTTAATTTGGGGTTGGGCTTCATTCTAAGTTGGAGGTTATAATAATGAAAGATATGCAGATAATGGTGAAAAAAGAAATAATCTTTATTGGAAGCTTAGTAATGTAGAAATTCCTTAATCTAAATTATGGAACAGACCATCTTGATGTCTTTTTTTTATAAAATTAAATAAAAAAAGAAGGATATTTAATAAATATATATATAATATTATATTTTTCTTATAAAGTTAATTACATATATATATATATTATTTATTTCCTTTTTTTATATTAGAACTTTTTATGTTTTTTGAATTAAAAAATTACAAATTTAATCTATTTATTATATTTTTATTACTATTTTTTTGTTTAATATTATTTTTTTTATTTTATTATTTTATTCTTAAAGTTTTTTCTTTTTGGATTTATTTTTATTTAAATTTAATTTAATTTGTAAGTTTTTAAATTTTAAATAAATATTAATTTTATTTTTTTTAATTCTTTTTTAATTTCATTTTTGTTTATTAATGTTTTTGTTTTTATTAAAATCTTTTTTATTTAAATCTATTAATGATTAAATATATTTATTATTTAAAATATTATTATTACATATGTTTATAAAAGATATTATTTACTTAAGAAAGATTTTAATATTTTAAAAATAAAAAAATAATATCAATAAGTTATTAATATAATTAAATAATCATCGATTAAACAAATTTTATAATTTTTATAATTTATACAGAAAGATATAATATTTCATTTTGAAAAAATAAAAATAAATCTTAATATAATAATAAAATATAATTATAATAAATATTTTTATATTTTATCTTTAAAGAATATAAAATATAATAAATAATAAAATGATAAATACAAATTTAATAAGTGAATTTATTGATAAATATAAATAATAATAATAAAAATCTAATGATGTAAACAAAATAAAAAAACCAAAAACAACAAATTTTTATATTTAAAAGTATATGCTAAATCAAGAAGATAATTAAATAAATTAAAAATTTGAAAAATTAAAAAAATATTTATTAGAATCTTAATCATTATTAGAAAAAACACTAGATTTAGTTGAAGATAATACCTAATCTTTAAGGTATAAATAATTTTACAAACATACATACTAAAAAAAATAAAAAAAAAATTAATAGTTTATAAAATTTTACATCTGATGAAATAATAAATTATGCTTTTAGAATATAAAGTGAATTCACATGTCCTTTGTATGATGAAATAGCATAATCATATTTATATTCTATAAATTCAAGAGGAAGTACTAAAAAAACATTTATTTTTTAAAAATTTGAAAAAAAATAAAAAATAGCGACATAAGTACCAATACCAACTTTTAGTGCAAATTAATAAAAATATGATGATGTTGCCTAAAATCTTTTGACTATTAGTTCTTCTAAAATTATATAAGTAAATATTGAACCTTAAACAGATGATCCTAATGCAAGAGTTGTAGTTTCTGATAATAAATAAATGCCGAATCCAATGATTTCTTAATAAAAAAATTAATTTTCAAATAATACATTTATTTAAAAATATAAAGATAAAACTTAGCTTAGATTTATTTAATTTTCTAAATATTAAAAGGAAAGTGAATTATGCATTGTTAATCTAAATCCTAATGATTATACTAAAAGAGGAGATAACGATATGGATATAAATAGTATCATGTAACCCGAAAGTATTGATGTTGGTACTGAAAAACATGACTCTTTAGAATGGAATTTAAGTAAGGAATCAAATTGAATTATTTTTTAGGTATAATTTGAATTATTTAAGTATTTTTTCATATATATTTTTTTGTTTATAATTTATTATTATTATTTATAATTCATATTATTATTAATTAAATAAATTTCTATTTTTATTTAGTTAATATATATGGATTAAACATATATTATATTATAAATTTCATATTTATCATTTTTTATTTTATATATATTATTTAAGATAAGATAAAAATTATTAATTTAATATATTAATATTTAATTATAAATTATTTATTTAAAAAAATTATTATGAGACAATTAATATATTTTTTTTTCGATATTAAAATTATCTATTTTTATTTTTTAAAAGCTCAAAACTATCACTAAAATTATAATTATTTCAAACATAATAATAATAAAAAGTAATTTACAAAAAAAATTACAGAATTTTTTTATATGAAATTTTTATATAAAATAAATAAATGATTTAGATATTTTTTATAAAATATGTATTATAGAATAATAAGAAAAAGAAAAAGAAAAAGAAAATTTAAAATATTATAAAAAGACTATAATTTTTAAAATAAATTTATTGATATTTCTTAACAAAATTTATATTATAATTAAAAAATTATAATTTTATTATTATTTTAAAATAAAACTTTAACTTTTAAATATTTTACTTTTATTTAAGTTTTATACTATTATTATTTTATAATTTTTAGCACAACTCATTCATTAATAATTATTAAATTTGAATTTTTTTTTTTTTTTCAAAACTAGACAAATAAAAAAATAATAAAAATTCAATTTTACTAAAGTAAAAATAAAATAATAAGTTAATATAATAGTCTTTTCAAAAAAAAATATTATAATTAATTATTTTTAATATTTTAATAATTAAAAAAAAAATATGTTAACCAGAATATCACTTAACGCAATAAAAAGTCAAAAATATATATTTACTTAGAATACATATTTAAGTTCATTAATAAATAAGTCTTATTATAAAAGTTCTATTGTTAATTATTCTAATACGCTAAAAGATTATTTAAAAACAAAAGATAATTCCTAAAATAATATTTTCCTAAAATAAGATTATTTCATGTTCAAAAAAAACATTTATTCATTCGAAGATATAAATCTAATGATAAAATATATTGATTCACTTACTCAAAAGATACCAATAATGAACAAGCGTACTATTCGCAGATTAATGAAATTAATATTAAGAGCAGAAACGAACATGTTAAATTAAGCTAACATTTAAATTAAATACCATAAACATACAATATTAGACAAAAATCTAAATTGGTAAACCTTAAGAGCAAATTTAAACTATTAAAAAGATAAATTTTCTAAAAATTAATTATTGTAAAAATTGCCTTAAAATAAAGAAATTATTGAAAACTTTTATAATTAGAAATAAGAAATTGTCTAAAGAAATTTGAAAATTCAAATTAAGTAATTATTAGCTTTAAATATATTTAAAACTCTTACATATTTGACCTTACCGACCATGTTTTATTTATAACCTTATACCTCTCTAGTTTTCTTATATCCAAGATTTGGAGGAGCTTATTTCTACTTTGCTTAGTATTAAATATAATAAAAGCTTGTACCAGGAATATTTCTTTCAGTTTTAATGATTGGAAGTTTACTTTACGCTTTAAATTTTACTATTACTGATATTCATAATTATATTTAAAATAAATATTGATATAAGTTTATTTCTATTAATAATTATATATAAAAATATATTAATTTTTTATTTTCATTAATAAGTGAACTAAAAAAAATTAAAATTTAATATAAGAAAAAAGATAAAAAAGATATAATATATAAATAAAAAAACAATTATAAATATAATTAAAAAAGTTTATAATATCAAATTCTATTAAATATACATATTTGTTTATTTTTTTTTTAAAAAAAAATTATATCATATTTCTTCTTTTTCAATCTTTTCAGATATAGTATTTAATTCCTTTAAGATATATATATATATATATATATATATATATATATATATATATATATATATTTTAAAAATACTCCATAAATTTTATTTAATATCTATTCTTTTTTCTAATTATCTATTTTTTTTACATTTATTTCATAATCTGCATAAACAGGTCTAAAATAATAAAATAAACTAAATAATATCAATAATTTAAACCTATGTGAAGTAAAATTTAACTCTTTTCTTTAATATGAATTTTAATTAATCCAATTACCTTCTTTGACTAAAACCATGATTCTATCAGGCCAGCAAGGTGTACTATTTTAATCGTAAACTAAGCCAAGTTATTCATAATTATATGTAGGTAAGAAATTTATTTAAGCTTCTTCATATTTCAATAAATAATCTGAATATTATTTACTTTATAAAAGTTCGTCACTTTCTCTTAACTATTTCATTATTTTAGCCGCTTCATCTTTATTAGTCTTTGATGCTCTTTCATAATTTTATATTAACTCCATCATTTAATAATAATTAAAAGTACTTGTACTACCTGTATCTCCCAGTAAAAAATTAAAGTCAATATTTTCTATTTTCTCATCTTTTGTTTTGCCTATCTTATAATTTTTTTTTACTAATTTTATAAATAAAAAGTACTCCTTCTTATTAAAAAGCTTTAGTATGAATGTCATTAAAGCTTTAAATATTTTTCTACAGGCCTTTATCTAGATATAAATTTAAAAAACTAATTGAAGTATCATCAAATATATTTTAATAGCTACACTACCCTTTTATATATATATGTTATTTTAAAAATAGAAAATAAATAAATAACTAACCTTACTCGAAATATACCCTAATTTAATTGTATCATCATAATTTTTGAAATCCTATAATAATATCTTTATTTTATATAAACCATCAATAAACACCCATATAAATCTTTATGCTTGGTCAAAGTATATGTATCATAAAAATTCAACTATTCTAAGATAATACTATCCCATTTTTTGATTTCTTATTCATTGTTAACTGTAACTAAATTCTTAGCATTTAACTCTATAATCTCCTATAATCCGACCACTACAATATCTGGAAGATTTTTTCCTTTTTCAAAATCGAAAAGATTGGCTTTTTCCACAGGTTCCACTCCTCCTAAATTCCAAGTGAAAATCCTCACGTTTATTTTTTAAAAATTACAATATTAATCTTATCTCGAAACAAGCTCTTTTTCTATACTTTCGTTAAAAGTATTCACACTTTCCGTATGTTGACCTACTACCATATCTATAGCCTCTTATTTTATATTATCTTCAAAATTCTATAAATAAAATCTTGATATAGATTTATAACCATGTTATAGTAAACCCAAAAAATCTCTTTTTCCTTTTTTTGTCACATCTGTATGAGTAGAACCCGTCCCAGTATAATGTTTAGATATCAGATCCCCACAATCGGCCCATAGGCACTTAAATTTCTGTATAAAAGGATGGTTTTCTTCTGTACTACTATCCACATGATCAAGAGGGTCCTCACCGAATTATTCAAAAAGATTTACTCCAAGTTAATGCAATTATACATTTAAAATATCCAAAGCTATTTTTGATTAAAATACATTAGTCCTATCTAAACAATCAAGGCAATTGGTACGAACTATTCCTTTTTAGGTAACTATGACTATATTATTTTAAGTATCTTCGGCATAGAATTTAAAATTATCGTTCATTTTATGTAATTATCGTATAGTAGGATTTACGTTTTCATATTTTTAATTTCTGCATATAGTATGGAAATCATAATATTTATATTTTACAAAATCTCCTTTATTATATATAAATAAATACATATATATAGATATAAGATACCTATAAGCTGTTAATTATTTTTTATATGAGTTTCAAAAGATTCAGTTAATATATGCTCTGATTCTTTTGATTTTTTCATTAAATTAACGCATAAAACATATTAATAATTTTTTCTTATATCTTCAAAGTGTTTTAAAAAAGCTTAATTTGTTAACTCATATGATCTTGTGATTTTTGTTTAAGCTGTAATTCCTCTTTATCTCCAAAAACAAGGTACTGAACCCCTTATTTACAAATGTGAACAACAATATTGATTATAATAAAATATTTATTCCAGTTCTGTATAATTAGCTACGTTTCCATCATCATCTATACCTCGTGAATTATACCTTGTACCAGCTTTTTTATATGATCGACGAGCTATTAAATAAAAATCAAGCTTCTTCCCTTACAAATAAACGTTAAAATAACCCACATAACCTTGTATTAATGGAATATTCCATACTGAACTTACTTAATTAGCAACTAATTCCCTACAACTATGCGTATTCCAACAAAAGCGAGGATCTCTATCAGATTAAAATGCTTGTTTTTATTTTGAAAGACTTAAATTGTATGAATACGAGAAATAATATCCTTCTATAAATAGCTTTATTTTTATAATTTTTATTATTTTTTTCCTTTTTTTAATTTTTTTTTACTTTACGAATGTTTCTAATATGGTTTTCTATTTCTTTTCCTTTATCTCCTTAAAATATATCTTTTGGTTTCTTTTTTTTACAATTTATAATTTAAAATTTATATTTATGTATATAATTTTACTTCAAAAGGAATAAATGCTAATGTTGATATTTCAAAAATGTCATTTTTTTATATTGTACATGTATGTAATACATCTTCTGCGAATAATAAAAATGGTCTATCTAAAACATACTATATTCCTAAAAAGCATGAAAATTTCATTATATCTATAGGCTTTTCATTTTCATATTTATTATCATGTAAATCTTATTTTTTTATATTTTATTTTTTTGGAAATTAAATATAATTATAAATAAACCTAATTCATACATCTTTCCATTTTTTTCAATTATTAATTTTTTATTTATTTACGGATACTTTGTTTTTAACTAAATCTATATTTTTTTATTTTATATGATAAAAAATTTTAAAAAACCTCAAAATAATTATTATATCTTGTAACAAATAAAACTTAAATATTTTAACTATTTATATTTTTAGTATCTTTTTCTTCATTATTTATTTATTGTCCACTTACAAAATCACCACTTCCTAAAAAATTCATATAATCCATTTATTATTTAATATTAATAAATAAAATATAGATAATTATTATTGAAAAAATTAAATATATGAGAAAATTATTTTAAATAAAATATTTTAAAAAAAAAAAATATAAAAAATAATTTATAATATAAATATATATATAAATAAGAATAAAATATATTAAAAATAAAAATTTTAAATAAATAAAAAATATATAATTTGATGAGGAAATGATATAATGAATTATATAATATATTAAAAATAAATAAATTTAAATAAATACATATATATCTATAAATAAATATATTATATATATATATTTATATATATATATATTATATTTTTATATTTCTTTTTTATATTTACTTTAATATTATTTTTTATTTTTATTAATTATTTTGGGAAAAAAGATATTTTTTTTAATAAATAAGTATTTTTAATACTTATTTATTTTATTTTTGTAATATAAAAACATATTCTAATAAAATGTCAGAAAATACAGAATAAATATTATAAACAATAAACACATAAAATGCACCTAAAGCTATAGGACCTTATTCACAAGCAAAAGTTGTTAGTGAAAAAGCAAAACTTTTTTACATTTCTGGATGTATTTCTATAGATCCATAAGTATTTATTTTATATTTTTAAGTTAATAATTCAAAAATAAAAATATAATTCTATTAAAAATTTAAAAAAAGACAAATTAATTTGTTCTTAAAGACGATGTAATTGGTTAAACTGAATAGGTAATAATAAATATAATATATGTTCATTATATTATTTTTATATAAAAAATAAATATATATATATATATATATTTTAATTTAATTAAATATATAAGTTTATAATTAATTCTTTATAAAAAAGTGATTTTTAATTTATAATATTATTTAATATGAAAGGTAATGAAAAATTTATGTGCTTTAGTTGAAGCAGCAGGTAGTAATTTAGATCATGTTGTTAAATGCAATATATATTTAGATGTAAATTATAAATAGAAAAATATAATAATAAATAGTATATTTTTAAAATAAATTATACAAAATAAATATAAGGATATGAATAATTTCTAAAAAGTAAATGATGTATATGCTAAATATTTTAATGGTGAGAATAAACCAGCAAGAGCTTGCATTGCAGTTAAAGGTCTACCTGCAGGGGCAAAGGTTGAAATAGAATGTAATGGTGTAGTACCTTAATGAAATATATAAATAAATAAATATATAAATATATAAATAAATGAATAAATAAATAAATAAATATATAAATAAATAAATTTTCAATATTTTTTTTAATATTTTTAATAATAAATAATACTATATTATATTTTTATAATAAAAAATATATAAAATATTAAATATATTTTTTAATATTTTTTTGCTAAATTTTTAAATAATTTTTATTTATATTTAGATTTTTTAAAATAATTAATATATATTTTTATTTAACTAATATTATTAGAAAAAAAAGTGTTCATTTTTATTATTTATTTATATTTTTTTTTTAGAATTATATATTTTTAATAAAGAAATAATTTATTTATATATATACACAGATTTAACTATATATATTACAAAATTTACAAATAAATTTATTCTTTTTTTATATTTATTAAAATATAATTTTAATCATATTCCAAGTTCTAATTAGTTTTTAGAATTATTTATCTTATAAGATTTTACCTGTTTTGAATTTTCAATAACTTATAATTTTTTTGTTTAAAAGTATTTTTATTATTTCCTTATATTCTTTTATATTGTTTTGCTCATTATTTTAGTTTGTTATTAAATATACATTAGTTGTTCTTTTTCGTATTATTCGATAGAGAAATCAAGTATACTTTATTATATATTAATAAAGTTTTAGATATTTTTCATTTAAATTTTTTAAGGACTTTTAGGATTAGGGTAATAGAATTAGTTCATTTTTTTTTTTATTTTTTTATTTTATTTTTTATTATTTATAAATATTAATTTTATTAACTAATATTTTTAGTAAAATTTTTTTATATAAATAATATATTATTTTTTATTTATTAAAAATTATCAAACCGCGATTTATTTCAAATATTATAATTTTTAAAGTTCTTATTAAAAAAAGGTAAAAAAATTAATTATAAGATACTTTAATTATTTAATTTTAGATATTTTTGGAGGGTTATATTAATTTTGTCAAACCTAATTTATTATCATTATCCAATAGCTTCTACATCTATTTTTAGTTTATTCATTAAATATTTAATTATAATAATATAAAAAGTAGTTATATACAAAACATTCAAAATTAATTATCATTAAATATAAAAATACAAATTATAGATATAAAGAATATATATTATTAAAATAATATGTAATATTTATATTATTCCATAAAAAGAAATATACTAATATATAAAGCAATAAAGCAATTTACAAATAAATTAAAAAAATAAAAAACTAAAATTATTTATATTTATTTAAAATTTAATATTTTTAAAATTAGTTAATAAATTAAAAATATATTAAATATAATGGATCCATCAATTACACAAATAAGCCATAAAGGAAGAATATTTACTCCTTATATAACAAAAGATCAAATAAAATAAGCGGTATAAAAAGTAGCAAAAGAAATATCAAATGATTTGCGACATAAAAATCCTATATTCATAACTATATTGAATGGCGCATTTGTATTTTGTAGTGATTTATTAAGATAACTTGATTTTCATTAAATGGATATAGAATTTTGTAAGGTTTCTAGCTATGTAGGAACTGGGACTACAAGTGCATAAACTGTTTAAAAATTAATTGGGTTAACAAATAATATAAAAGATAGACATGTTGTGATTGTAGAAGATACCATAGATAGCGGGTTTACTTTAGATTATTTAATTAAAGATTTGCAAAAGGAAAAACCTAAGAGTATTTCTTTATGTGCTATGTTTCTCAAAAAAGCTAATTTATAAGTAGAGTTAGACATAAAATATATCGGAATGACTATTGATCCCGAATTTGTGATTGGGTATGGATTAGACTATGATGAATGGGGAAGAAATATATATGGATTATGGATTAATAAATGATTTATTTTTATTAATATTAATAAAATTTTATTAAAAATAATAAAATAAAATTTCGTATCTTTTATATATCCTTTTTACTTTTTTTTTTTTATAATAATAATATCTTATTTTTCTATATTTTATATATTAAATTTATTTTGTGTTTTTTTATTAATTATGTATATTTTATTTTATTTTATTTAATAAGAATTATATTAATATATATTTATATATATATTATATATAAATTTATTTACTTTTATATATTTTTTATTAAAAAATCATATTATAAATGAAATAAAAATAAGAAAACTTAAAAAAAATATATATATATATTTTAATATGTTTTATGTAAAATTTTTTAAAATGCAATAGAAAACTTTAGAGTAACAGATTTATTAATATTACATATAATATAGACAATTTATAATCTATATTATATTAAAAAATAAAAAAATTAATTATATTTAGAAATATTTATATTATTATATTATCAGAGAGATGAATTTATAATAAAAAATTTTTGTATTATATTAATATATCTCTAAAATAAATAATAATTAATAAATTATTATAATATTTTTAAATTTTTTTTTTTTTTTTATAAAGATTTAATAAAAAAAAAAAATTAGATATATGATGTTGTAGTAATATAATTCGAGGTTAACATATATATATGTTTACTCTTAATATTTGTTAAATAAAAATAAAATGAATATAATGTTTTTTTTTAATAATTAAAAAATAAAAATAATTAAATATTCAAAATATATATAATAATTTATTATTATATATATATATATCTAAATAAAAATATATAATTAATTTATTATTATTTATATATATTTATACATATCCTAAATTATATATATATTTTTATTAAACATATTTTTTTTTCTCTAAATATTTTCATTTTATCTTGGATATAAATAATTAACTTTTTACATAATTAGATAAATAAATAAATAATGATATAAAATTTAATAATAAAAATTTAAATCTAATAATTGATTCATAAAAATGAATATAATCTTAATCTAAAAAATATTTTATTATTATAATATTTTATTTATATTTATATCTATTATAATTATTATTAAAATGATATATAATAATAATAATAAAAATTAAAATAAATATTATAAGATTTATTTATAAATAAAATTAAATTTATTTTTAAAAATTATAATTTTTTTATTATAATAAATATATACATAAAATTATAATATAAATCATTTTAAAATTTCCTAATAATTAGATTTCCATAAAAACTCTCTAAATTCAAATTAATCGAAAATTTTTTAAATGTTTAGTTTTAACTTTAACTCATAAAACCTTATAATAGCAGACTCACATTTCCCTGAAATCGCACTTATTTTACTTATTTAACACCTTTATAAATCTAAACTATTACTAATTTAAGTAACAATAAATAGTCCACTAGCAGCTACAGTTTAATTTTACTCTGAAAATTTAACAATTTTACATATTTTATCACATAATTTATAATATCCTAGTTGATCTTACATCCTCATATCTAAAATTACCACATATTCAGAAGCAAAACATAATACTGTTTTCTTTTTTGCTAAAAAATGTATAATTTCTTCCTTTTTTTCATGTTAAAATCTTCTTCCTTATACATAATTTAATTAATATTATAATTTAACTATTGAAAACTATGTCAATTCACATAAATTTTCCCATGTAATTTCCTATAGTCTTAATTTCTAGCAAATTATAAATAAAGCGATTATCGCTCTTGCTTTAACATGCCTTATTTTGAAAGAATTGTTCTATATATTTTCTACTAAAATTTTAAAATATCTGTCAACACAACCTATCTCTTATTTATTCAAAAAAAGAATTTCGCACCATTAATGCAACTATCTACTTATTTATTAAATCACTTATTTTACAGGAATATTATTGTTAGTCCGAAAATCCTTTACCTTTTTTTCACCTATATATAGCTCCTGATTATCATTAAAAACAGCTCCTCGTTATGCATTTGTTGTCTAAGGAGCGATATCGTAATTGTTATTTTCCTATTCAAAAGTTTTGTAGCGATACTCAACTAAAAATCCGCAGTTAGTACAGGATATATTACCTGATTGAGGATTATATAGAATAGTTTAACTAAAGCAATTTTTGCATTTTTCTTCATTCATTTATTAATAATATGATATTATAATTAATTTTTAATTTTATTAGTAAGATTTTGATATTATAAAATTTATTAATATATACAAAATTGTTTTAAATAAACAAAAAATTAATAAAAATATATATTAAAATTATTAGAACTAATGATAAAAAAAAATAGATAAATAAAAATAAGAGATCTTCATATATTAATAATACATAAAATTATTTATAATATGTGTTTTATATATAATAATATATATAATATATCTAAATTAATTAATAAAAAGTATATTTTTTATTAAATTATTAAAAACATTAAAAAAAATATATATATTATTAGAATAATTTTATAAAAATTGTTTATATTTTCAATGAATTTTTAATTTAATTTTAATAATAACTAAAATACAATATTTAAGATAAATGAATAAAAAATTATATTAAATAAAAAAAAATTAAATATGTTAAAAAAAAAATATAAAAATTAATAAATATTAATTTATTTATTAAAAATAATATAAATATTAATTTTAATATTAATTAAATTTAGAAAGATAATATAAATTATATATTGATTATAAAAAAAAATGTATTAAAAAATAATAAAAATTATAAATGAAAATTATGAAATATATAAATATATATATATATATATATATATATATATATATATATATATTTTTATTAGTTTTGTTTTTATAATTAATATCAATTAAAAACTTTTTATTTTATTTGTTAAGAATAAAAAAAATAATGTTTACTATTCTATTTATTTATAAAAAATTAAATAATAATAAAATAAATATAATTAATTTTATTAATAAAATAAAAATATTATAAATTATAATAATAATAATAATAATAATAATAATAATAATAATAATAATAATAATAATGTTATCAATAAAAATTTTAACAATAAAAATGTTAACAATAAAAATGTTAATATATAAATTTTTATTATGAAAATTATTACAATAATAATTATCTATTATATAATTTTTTTTTTTTTTACTATTTATTTAATATAGTTATTGCTAACGATAGTTTGTAATTCTTTTTAAATACATTTTATTAAATTTAATTTATATGAATTTGTAATTCTTTATTATAAAAGAACATTAATATATATTATATGATTATTTTACTATAGATAATTTATATAATATAAAAACAAATTTAAATCCATATTTATTTTTTTCATTTTAAAAATTCTTCTCTTTTTTTAACCATTCTACTGATATAAAATTTTTCAATATATAATTATATATTGAATAAGGAATCCATAAATAAAGTACTGTTTAAATTTTATGATTCCAATGCCCGGCTGAAACTACTTCTTTTCCTAAATCTTTCAAAGCCCATTTAGCACAATCATTACTATCGATAGTCATTAAGTCAGTAGGTCTATTTCCAATCATATTAGTACTAACTTCACTAGGATTAAGGCACATAATATCAATAAATGGATACTCAGAAGCAATTGTTTGAGTAAATAGATTAATAAAAGCCTTAGTAGCACCGTATACATTAAAATAAACGCAAGGAAGTACGCCAGCAAATGAACCTACATTCAAAATAGCAGATTTAATTCTTGTTTATGAATATTTTTTCTCGAATTTGGGTAAAAAATGCCTAGTAATAATCACTGTAGAAATTATATTTATTTTTATCAAATCAAAAATGATTTAATATGGTATTTTATCAAAATGACTTAAATAATCAACTCCTACATTATTTATTATCATCGAAACTTCTAAATTTTCAATTTATGAAAAAATATTTTAAAAAAAATCTTATTGAAGAACATTTTGGAAATTCGCTACTACAACTTTAATTTATATTTTTGGAAATTTAGATTATATTTCAATTTTTTACATTATTTAATTTTTACTCATTTCTAGCTATTAATATCAAATTCATTCCTGATTTTGCCATTTCTATGGCAAATTATTTACCTATTCCTATATATATATAATTACACAAATTAAAATATACATTTAAGTTTTTGTTTTTATTTTTTTTAACCATCTGATGATCCTGTAATTAATGCATATGTGTCTTTCCCATATGATTTTATAAAGTTATTTTATTTACGAAATAATGAGAATATAAATTTTATTAGGTTCTTAGACATGTTTGCGAATTTTAAAAGGCCTATTAAATAGATTAAGAGTTTTAGTTTATTATTTCCTTGATTATTAAAAATATTTAACATTATAATTTTATTTTTAATTTTAATCTATTTTTTTATTTTTATTATTATTATTAATTTTTATAAATATATTTAAAAAAAAAGTTTTTTAAGTAATTTTATATAAAATAAGTAATAAATTTGATTTTAATTAAATATTCTATTGCAAAAAAATATTCATATATTTTTTTGTATACTAAATTTTTATTTTAAATGTTATTAATAGTCTTTATTATTATATTTAAAAATAAATTAATATATAGATATAATAAATTAATATTTTTTTTTTTTTTTTCTTATTTCTTAGAGTATATTTTTTTTAAATCACATTATATTTAATTCTTAAATTTGATTCTTATTATTATTTCTTTTTCTTTTTAAATTAATAATTTTTAAAGAAAATTCTTTATTTTCTTCTTCTTAATTAAAATCTTCTTAAATATCGCTTAAGCTATTAAAAGTAGATAAACTAGTAATTTTTAGCCTTTTTTTATCATAAAAATCATATTATTTATCTTCTGGTCTTGCAATTATAAGTCCAATAGAATCTAACCAATTATTAATCTTAACTTCTACTTCATTATTTTCTGAATTTTAGTTTAAGTTATTCTCTATGTATTTGTTTAATGAATCAATATTCAATTTTTAAGATTTTTCAATCTAGTTTTTTATCAATAATTTATCGAATTAATTTTTATTAACATTAAATTACTATTAAATATCGAAATATTTCATTAATTTTTTATTTTTTAGTTTTAATTTCCTTAATACGAAATTATATTAATATTTTTTTTATTTATAAAATAATAACATAAAATATATGAAATCAGTTATTTCAGAAAAAGAATTAATCTATTACATAAGAAAACATTTGTATTCTTTAAATTAAAAAGAATTTCAAAAAAAAAATTCACAATTACAAAAAATATAATTTATTTAAAAGTTAAAAAAAAATAGAACATTATAGTACATAATATTTTAATTATTTTCAATCAAATTATTTTTTTAAAAAATATTATACAATATTTTTTGATTTTAAAATTACAATTTTAAATAAAATTTATCTTTATTTTTTTTAAATGTTTATATAATTTTATTCTTATTATTAGTATATCTGAATAATTCTATTAAGTTTGTATTTTAAATATTTATATATTTTGTATAAAATAATAGTAATAAAATTTACAAATAAAAAAAAAAATTTTATAAATAAAATTTATTAGAATAATTATATATATTAAATGCTTTTATATTAAAATAAATATTAATTTATATTTAATAGAAATAATATTTATTATTATAAATTATTTAATGTGGCTTTTATTTTCTTTTCGTTATTTAATATTTAGCATATATATTTATAAAGTAATAAAATATTAATAAATTATATTAATAATTTTATTTATTTTAATTCATAAAAAAAATTAATAAATTTAATCATTAAATTAAAGTTTAATTTTTATATTTTAAGTTAAGTTAAATAAAACAATATAGCAATAATATACTATATTTTTATTAAAATAAGAAAAAACATAACTTTACTTTAATACAAATATAATATTAACTTTTAATATTATTTAAAATAAAAAATTTTTATAATATAAAATATTTTTAAAAAGATTATTAAATAAAACTTAATATTTATTAAATAATTTATATTAGTAATTTTTACTATTAAAATTTAATTATTTATATATCTAAAAATAAAATAAATATTTTAATTATATAACATTTATATTATTTTAAAATTTTTATATTAATTATTAATAAAAAAAAATTATTGTTGTTTATTTAAAATCACTTTTTTTTTTTTTCTATAAAAATCATATAATTTATAAATATAAGCAAAAAAATACTAAAAATGAGTGATTTTTTATATAAATCACAAATACAAAATGGTTTCCGAAAATTAGACTAAAGTTTATTAAGATTATATTTCAAGTAATTTTTAAGTAATTTACAAGAAAATCAAAAATAAGAAATACTTTAGTAAAAATTGAAAAAAGTATCCCAAATATCAAAAGAAATAGAAAAACAAAATATAATTGATTAATCTAAAATCCAAAAATCATTATCTCCATAATTGAATATATAACAAAATAAAAAAAATGCAAAACAACCATAATAATAATATTATAATAATCAAGAAATGGAAAACTCTTTTGGATAAGAATCAAACAATAATTAAATATATCAAACCGAAAACACAACTCAAAATAAACAAGGCAACAAAGTAATAAAAATAATCCAATTTAATGACATAATATATTTTAAATTCAATCACGAATATCGATTCGAAACTCAATAAACTTAACTAAAACCATATTACATAATAACAAATATTCGAAACCAAATCGAATGTTTAAATAGTTAAGTGGACTACGTGGATAGTCCAATAGCCCATTTTAGAAGATGTTTTTTTAGAATAATCAATCCTCGCAGTTAATCATAAAAAGACCAAGAAGAATTTCAAAATCAGCTCATATATGGGAAATAAGTACTTTTTTTCCATGAATACTCAAAAAAATACTTAAGTATAAACCCTGAAAAACCTGCTCAATAATAAGGTTGTTTTAAATTTGTTCTTCAAGAAAATCTTGATATTAATTGTTTATTTAATATCCTTCCATGTAATTAAGTGAAAAAAACAGGCGATAAAATATTTGATTCAGATACTATAAGTATTTAATAATTTTGTAATTAATAATTATTTTTGAGTGTCTGTATGTAATAGCCATAGCCATAGTCATAGACATAGTCATAGCCATAGCCATAGCCATAATAATAGTCATAGCCATAGCCATAGCCATAATCATAATCATAATCATAATAACAGCCATAATAATAGCCATATTAATAACCATAGTAATAGCCATAGTAATAGCAATAGACATATTAATAAGCATAGTAATAGGTATAGCAATATACATAGTAATAATAATAGTAACTATAGTCATAGCAATAGTAATAGCAATATCTATAGTAATAGTCATAGTCATAGTAATAGCCATAATAATAGGCATAGTAATAATAACTATATCCATAACCATAGTAATAGCAATAATCATAGTCATAGTCATAGACATAGTCATAGCCATAGTCATAGCCGTACTCATAGCCATAGTCATAATCATAGCTATAGTCATAGCCATAGTCATAGCCATAGTCATAGCCATAGTCATAATCATAGCTATAGTCATAGCCATAGTCATAGCCATAGTCATAGCCATAGTCATAGCCATAGTCATAACCATAGTCATAGCCATAGTCATAGCCATAGTCATTTCCATAGTCATATCCATAGTCATATCCATAGTCATTGCCATAGTCATAGCCATAGTCATAGCCATAGTCATTACCATAGTCATTGCCATAGTCATAGCTATAGTCATAGTATTAGTATTAGTCATAGTCTCTTTTAATTAAGGAAAGTGTTAATTTAAATAATTAATCTGTAGGAAAATTTTAGCAATGTTCAAATAATATTTAAAGTAGGTTGGCTATAAATGGAAGTGAAGAATAAACTAAATTAAAAATAAAATATTATTCAAATTACTAATAAGGTAATGACATTTTAGAAGGAAATTAAAAAGAAGAATAATATTTCAAAAACGGAGACATTATTAAAATAAAGCATTTAAATCTTGTAAGTTATTTATCAGTTTCTGAAAAGAAAATAAATAGATTTCTCAACCTAAAAAATTGTAAAGTTTAACTCTTTACAGACGAAGATTATGTAGGACATAGTGGAGATATTATTTTTATATAAAGACACTTGGACTAAAATAAAGTCATGTAAGCAGATAATTTCGAACCATTATATGAACCAGAAAATTCTAATGAGTCTTATTAGTTATGGGAACTTTAAAGAAAAGATAATTTTTAAGAAGGACCCATTTATTAAGGAGAAGTTTTTAGAATTAAAAATGTTGCCACAGGACTTTTTTTGGCTTAATTTAAGTAAATTCCTAGAAAGTTTGCATTGACATTCGATACTAAAGATAATTTGTGTTATTTTTATGTAATAAAGAATAAATCTTTAAATGATTAAAATAAAATCAACCTATCGGATAGTTTTAAGGTTTATAGTTAGGATAAAAAATGTATTTATGTTTTGTAAAATAATGATAATATGAAATTAGAATGTGGCTTATAAAAAAAATACCGGGTGCTGTTTAACATTATTTGCATAATTTTGAATGTGTAGATAAGTCTAAGATAGAGTTTATTCAATAAATTTTATTTACTTATGATATTTTGTTAAACTTTCATTATTTTCTTTAAGACTTTGCTGTTTATTAAGATAAAAATAAAGTAAAAAGTTCTTTTTTAATAAAAAAAAATATACTTAGATATAAATTTAAATATATATAAAAATAAGGGAATAGAAGAATATATATATTCATATTAATTAGCAATATAAAATTAAAAAAAACTGTAAAAAGAAGTCCAAAACATTGAAAAGGAGTTAATTAATCTAGAATAGTTAATAAAAAATTCCCAAAACAACATCTAATTTGTCCAAAATATTCTAAAAGAGCAAAATCTATTAAAATTATTAATTTTAATATTAAAATTAATAGATGCCATGTCCCATATAAACAGAAAAAATCCTATTTAAAAAGAAAAATTTAGATTAATAAAAATAAATAATAGAACTATAGAGTTTAAATATAATGAAAAATCACCTTAATAAATCGTAAATAAGCATTTAAGCCATGTCCCTATTAAAATTTATGAAATATTATTAATATTAATAATGAAAAACAGCGCCCTATCTTAATATATATTAAGCCATGATGATTTTTTTTCAGGTTAATTAAGATATTACCCTAAATAAGTAAAAAAATTACTAAAGGAAGCTATTATAAATTGTTTTTATTACCAAAAAATTGATTACTAAAAATAAAATGTAATCGAATGGGTAAAACTACTCGAGCCTTTAGATTATTAGAAATAAAATATTAAAGATTAAACCTTTTATATTGAATTTATTTCTTAAGGAATTCTTGATTCGAATTCAAAATCTTTAAAAGGCTATTAAAATAAATGTTGTACGGAAATTTTTTCTAAAGGGAAAGGAGGAAAAAGTAAAGCGATTATTTAATTTAATGACGGGCCTTCAATATAGTTTTATTACGAAAATTAATTTACTGAGTTTTTATAATAAAACGAGCTTTTGAAAAAATTAAAAGAAGAAAATGAATAAGAAAATCAAAATTCATTTTGCTTAAGAAGATTGAGCAAAAATGAATACTATATTTATTGTTAATATGTATGTAGTGTTATTAAATTGTTTGCTAATTTATGTAAATAAAGAAATAAGAAATCTTTGAAGTAGATTTATACTTTAGGAATTAATGAAGAATAAATATATAATGTTATTAAAGATGATAAAATCGATCTTAGTTTTAAAAAAAGTTATCTTTAATTATATGAAAGCATTTATTTTGATATTGAACCTTTTCTTAGTCTTAAAAAATCTGAAAATAGAAAGTATTTATTATAATAATTTTATTTTATTAATTAATATTATATAATTTTTAGTTATATATGGGAATAAATAATTAATAAAAATCTAAAGGGTAAAACAATGGAGATATTTTAATAATTATCAGAATAAGTAGATATCAATAAATATACATAGGGATTTGATGAATAACTATTACCCATTATATCTAGATTTTGGGATTAAGGATTAAATTAATACGAAATAAAAAATAAATCAAGTAAAAAAAAATGTATAAAATTTATTTTATAATTTTAAAAGAAAAAGAAATTAAAAAAATACTTTCTTATTTCTATACTATAGTCAGACTTACTAAAGTAGCGATAGATTTGGGATATTTAACAACAGAAAAAATTGAGAGTATTGTTTTATAGTCTCTTTATTTTTTTAATAAAACAAATAATTTTTCTGATTAAAATAATTGGATTTATTAATTTATACATCTACTTTAAGAAATTGGAGATTTTAGGTAATAATTTTAGTTAATTTTGATTGAAATGTCAGAAATATTTAGATTGTATTTAAGAATTAAAATAAATTTATAAATAATATTGTTTCTTAAATAGTTTTATAAAGATTTTTAAGTGTATAGCGAATAAAAAAGAATTTCTTCTCTTAAATAAATTATTAATAATATTTTTATTTATTTCAAAATTTATAAAGATAAAGATGAAGATATTAATTAAAATCAATTACTTTCTAACTCTTTTTTTATAAATGAATAAAAATAAAAGATAGATTCCTAAATAAAAAATATAAAAGATTAGTAAGTTTGCGTTCAAAAAATAGAAAATATATTAATATAATATTTATTAGAATCTGGTATTATATTTAATAAAATAAATATGTCTTTATTATTTTTTTTAAATAAAAAAAGACCTTAATACAAATGAAAACTTATATAAACATATATATAAAACAATTGATCTATACATTAATTAAATAAAAAAATTTTGCAAATAACTAGAAAAAATAGAAATTATAAATGGAAAATAAGAATTAACAATGTATTCGGAATTAAAAGGCAATTCTTTAGTTAATTAAATTGTTTCACCTTTAAAATTAGATATTTAAATTAAAAACATACTTTTTGATGAAGATAACTAAAAATAAACACTTGCAATAAAAGGAAGATACAATTCAGGTGAAAGAATGTTAGAAATAAATAATTTATTGAATAAAATAGCAACGAAATTAAAAGAATATAAAGACTAACCTAAAATGTAATAAAAAATGCAAAACATATTAAGAAATTTAAAAGTTCATAAATCTATATCTAATTTACTTACAGTAAAAAACTTAAAATTTAATATTACTTTTATATATTTATTGTTTATAAAAAAAGCTTAATTTAGATGATACTATATATCATAATATGTTTGAATGTGTAATGATTTTTTTAATTAACTTTTGTAGAAATAATAGTCAAAATAAGCTTTAATTACTTTCGAAATTTGATTATTTGTTATGTTTAATAAATTATGACGTAAAAGCAAATAAGTTATTAGGAATGATTTTATAAAACGTATGCCAAAACTAATATTTAATTAAATAATATTTAGATAAAATATTGAAAAAATTAAATTAACCTAATATTACTAAAATTGGATAAATTCATATTATTGATGTTCTTTTTTCTGTTCTTAAATATTAATAATAATAGCCTATTTTAACTTACTAAAAAAGCATTATTAAAAATTATGTGATTGTGCCATATAATTAATATTATGTATTGAATAAAATTATACAAGTAAATAAAAACTTTTTTATTTTTAATTATATTTTTATGATTTTAACAGATTCAGACTATTTTATAATTCTTTACTAGTCATAAAAAACCAGAAGATTTAGAAAAATATTATAAATAAAAAAATAAAAAATCTAATGATATAAATTTATTTAAAAGAATTTCTTATTTGTTTTCTATTTTAGTAGAAAATTATTATTTTGGTATAATTTAAATGCGAAAAATTGTTAACTATGATGATATAAAGGCTATACTTTATAATATAAATACTCCTTATATGATAAAGAAAGAACTTCTTAGTTTGTTTTATTAATTGTAAAATATATATATATAAATATATAAATATATATATATATATATATATATATATATATTTTTTTTAGATATATTGAAAAAAATAATTAATTAAATGAAAATTTATCTATATAAGACATGAATGAAATTTTTTAAAATTTAGTTATATAAGATTTATCTAACTTTAAAAAAGTTATTTTTGATTTTTTTTTAATTATTTTAAATAACTATATAATATTATAATAAAAGTATTTAATGGGAATAATAAAATTATATTAAAAAAATATTGAGGAAACTAAAGAAAGATCTGATTAGATTTAACTATATATTAATAATTTAAATAGTTAATTATTTGAAGATAAGGAGAAACCTTAAGAAGAAATTGTGTAATAGTCTTAATATTAATAGCAATAAGTAAAAAAATATTTATCTCTATAAACATATTTTAATAAAGGATGAACAAACAAACATATTGATAGATTAAAAAGAATATTGGGATTATTTGTTTGGCGGTAGTAGTTGGAACTGTTCATAATATGGTTTATTAATATTTATACTAAAATGTTTTAATGAAATAAATAATCGTTAATGGATGAAATTTTAATAGGAATTATTAAAAATTGCAAATAATGAAGAAGAGTGTTTATCAGATTATTTACTAAATGTAAAAATTAATAAAAATTTAAATAAAAAAAATATAGATTAAAATTTGTGTAAGTAATATTAGAATAATTCTTAAAAAAATTGAATTTTAGTTAAAATTAAACTTATAACCTATATTGCATTATTTATCAGAATGTATAATATAAAATCCAGTA